CAAGGAAAATATTAAACCAATTCTTCCCAATTCCAATTTCAATTCCACTTTTTAAAGATTGCCTAGAATGTTTAATCTAATGCTGACGCAAAATTTTCAAATAGCCTGTTTTGTAGAGAAAAGTCTGTGCTACAATCCTCATAGGTCCACGAAAAATTAAACATGTACAGTTGTGCTGTAGCGTTATTGTTATAATAAGCAGTATGTACCCCTTTACGCCTTTTATTCCCTTTACTCCTTTTAGTCCTTTTACTCCGTGAGAAAAAGAGGACTTTTTTGTCACAATGCATTACCTTATTGCATTCAAGATTTTGTACTTGACCTGTCATTGAATCATCAATATGAGTCAAAAGTTTTGTTTTATGCTTTGTTATTGGGGATAGGACACTTCTCTGAATTAATCAATGTTTATAATATTGAAACAAAACAAACAAAGCCGATTACTGTTTATGAAATTTGATTTGCTCCATCTGGTATGTATGAAAATGATGAACAGACCATTATTAGTTTTATGTTTTTAGATGTAGAAAAATCGAAATACATTAACATTATTTCTAACTCATGTAGCAAGCTTGAACATTATTTATATGAGAATTATTATAAAAAGCAACGATGTTTCTTATTACCCGGTGTTGTACAAATGAATGGGCAAGGTGAAGAAAAAAATAAAAGCAAAATAAAAACTTTTGAATCTTGGGTTAACGAATTCCGTTCAATTAAACAGGTGTATACAACACCTTCGCTGTTACAGATGATGACTAATACCAGTATTTTTTTCTTGGCAAATGATGGAGGTGCTATTCGACAAGAAAGTAGTTTTTTTAATCCTTCTGACGTAACAGCAGATGTCAAACAAGGTACTTTAATAGATTGTAAGTAAGCCTTTTTATTTTTTTTCAATTAGAACAGGTCATTTTTCAATGTTTGTATCATGTTTTGTTTTTAATAGGTTGGGACGGTAATAAGATAGTAAAAAGTACCGTGATGCGTGGTAGTAGCAAGATTAAAAACCAGACCGTATCAATGTGTGTTGCTAGTACTGGACGACGTTGGCCTGACTTGTTGCGTGAATTATCGTAAGCATTAATTTGTTTCATAATCATGACTTTAGAAATTTATATCTCTTTTTTGTTTGTATAAATTTAGAAAGATTCAGATAGCAGGAGGTCTTCATGAACGTTGTGATTTTTTTTGTTTTGATGTTAATTCTGATACGAATTCTACTCAATTAACACCGTTTGCTGAAAAGCAATTTTATGCCAATATGTACGATGATTTATTGTCTTCTTCGTCAGTGGAAAATAAACTGAACTATTCACTAACTCAAATTTTTTTTATTATAAAACTATTTGGCTCTAGAACGTTTATTTGGTCGAGAGAAGCGTTTTCTTTTATACAACCTCGATTAAATGAACTTAAAACGAATAAACCATGTCAGCTTATTCGAAACACAACGATATTTCAAACAAAACAACACATGGCTATTCGACGTCGCAGTGCTGAACATGTCGTACGCTATGCGTGTCTTATTCAAATGTTCTTAAATAGCTTATTTGTTTTAAAATCGATGAATGACAATATAATTAAGGACAATAATGGTGGTCTTAATGAAGCATTTGAAATTGAAGCGAAACATAAAGTAGATATTCATTTCAATAAAAATATTATCTGTTATTTTCCTTGTAACCATCTATTTTAGATAAAAAATGCATTTGGTACAGCTTTAGCACGTGAAGAAGCTTTTCATCAAAATGGTGTACCAATTGATCCATTGGAAGTTAGTATCCAGGCAGCTAAATCTGCAGTTAATTTGGTATTCTTGTTGTTATTACCACAATCCGTGCTATTATTTAACTATGATGATTATTATGAAAATAAACTGATTGAAGCAGCAGCAGTTAGCAACACAAATATGTCGGTAATAAAAAAAGAAAAAATAGTTGTAAAAATCGAAAAGTTTATCATGGAATTAAATTATAAAATGTTCTTTAAAACTTGTATAACGGATTGTTATTTTCGCGATAAACGAATATTAGTGGATAAGATAATGTTTTGAACGATCTCGTGAGACGTGAACTTTTATATGAGGGTTGTGGTGACACAGCGTTTTTTGAATGTGGACGTGCGTCAATAAAAACATATTTAAAATATGTATCAAATGTTAATGATGAACAACGTTTTCATGATACTATCAAGCTTATATGATAAGCATATCAAGATTATAAAAAGATATTTGAAGATGCTCCAATATTACCACCGAATTGTCATTTGACATCTTATGATGCTCAATTTATTCGTAAACCTCAATATGAATCAATTATAAATCAAAAAAGTAAAGTACTTTCACTATTATTTTTCACTTGGTAAAGTTTTAATATCTAAAGCACCGTTTATTTATAGATAATGATGATTCGAATACATCTGATGCTGATGTTAATGTTGACATAGATACCGATACTAATGCTGCATCTAATCAACCGTTATTAAACTGTTTAGGTAATTTTATTCTTTTCATATTATGTTCTGGAGATCGTCATCCAGTATTTAAATATATTTGATGTGCTATTAAATCATTTTTAGCAGGTTCAAATGGTAATAATGACGATGAACACGAACAACCAATATATGAATTTAATAGCATCATGCAGAATTCATCAATAATTGATTTAGTTCAATCAAACAGAAGTAGAACCAATGCTCATCACGATTTGGGAAAGATTAATGATATAGATACAAATTCAAATAATTCCCATACACAATATTTATCATCATCAACAAGTACCGGTATTTATTTGTTTACCATTTTAGATAGTCGACTCTCTAATTCATAACTCAGTCAAAATCCATCCAAATTATGTCAGACTAGCAAGATGTACTCTATTTTACCTGCTGTATGCTATGAAGTTCAATAAAAGCTGTACAAATCAACAGAAAATACTTGGGGTTTTAAACAGTTTTCTAAAAGTCTTCCGCACTGCAGCGATATTTGTTACTACTCTTAAGTAAAAAATCACATTGAGCAGGTAAAATAGAGTACATCTTGCTAGTCTGACATAATTTGGATGGATTTTGACTGAGTTATGAATTTTTTAATTTTACTCAGAAATAGGCAAAAAGGGTTATTTTACCTCATATAGATTTTCACTAGGTTTCTGGAACTTATTTGAAAAAAAATGTTGCCACGAGATTCAGCGTGGTTCATTACCTATATTTCCATTCGTCTTCGGAATTACCTCACCTAAAGAAATATTGATTCTGAGACTCTCTGGAACTGCGATGCCACACCTGAACCAGGGAAAATTAAGAGTCCGCTTGGGTCCCATTTTGCAGAGGACACTCTGGATTATATATCTATGGAGAAAAACTGATAGATTGCTATCTCAATATCCGGAGATCCAAACTGCTTTTCTAAAGACCTCCGAGAAAACCAATCTTCTGAATATTTTTCGAGAAGGATTTTGCTTAAGAAAACATGGGCAAAACTGTTTTCTTTCGATTGCTGAAAATCCCAAATCTCTTTCAGTTCTTCAGATCTTACAACCTCAATTACCTGCTCTAAGGTTGCTAATGGTATCTTTTCTTCAAAATTTTCCAAATCTGTCCAAAGAGCGTCGGTATAAGGATGTGGTCTAACTATATCAGCTGATTCTTTAAAAAACTCCTCGTAATAATCCGCAGCAGCTTCCGCCATTTCAATTGGTTCTTTCACTGATTTACCGCTTGGTAGTATAAGCGCCTGCAGAAAAGTCGCTCTAAAACATTTTTTTGTTTTTGACCAGAAAGCTACTGATGCTGAAGAAGAAGTATGACGTGTAGATA